GCTGCGTGTGTGTTTGCTACTGCGTGTGTACATGCGCGCGCGTGTGTGTGCGTGCTGTTGCGTGTCTATGTGCTGCCTGCGTGCTGCTGCGTGTGTGTGTGCGCGCGCGTGCTGTTGCGTGTCTATGTGCTGCCTGCGTGTGTGTTGCTGCGTGTGTGTGCGCGTGCATGTGTGTTGCTGTGTGTGTGTGCACGCGCGCGTGCGTGTTGTTGTGTGTGTGTGCGCATGCGTGTGTGTTGGTGCATATGTATGTGTTGCTGCGTGTGTGCTCCTGCCCTCGCACTGATGCTGCGTGTGTGCGCTATTGCCCCTCACACACATACCACATGAGGGGCAAAAGAGTCAAAATGGATGGAAATGTCATATAAGGTATAAAATTTAAAACTTGCGTCAAATAGGGAAGAAAAACTTTTGCAGTGTCAAATAAGAAAGCAGATTTTAAGATAGTATCAAATAAGGAATTTTCTCTTTTCTTTGGCCCTAGCCCATGTAGTGGGGTGATTTTTTTTTCCAGGAAGGGTGGCTCTCAAATGCCAAGGAAGAAGCTTAAAAAGAAACTCCATAATAATAACTGTAAGTGCACCTTGCTGTTCTGGAAGGGGAGCCTTGGCGCAGTGGTAAAGATGCTGCCTCGTGACCATGAGGTCATGGGTTCAAGTCCTGGAAACAGCCTCTTACAGAAATGTAGGGAAAGGCTGCATACTATAGACCCAAAGTGATCGGACCCTTCCCTGGACCCTGCGCAAGCGGGAGCTACATGCACCAGGTTGCAGGTTGCACCTTGCTGTTCTGACGCTTGATAATTGTGTCCTCTGGGACGCTCTATCATTCTCAAGACTTGAGACAGGATGGTATTAATTTGGGCCGGTGAAACTTAACGCTTGTGTTCCATTCGCAACACAATGCATATGCCAGTGATTCACTCCACATCAATAAGATCAGTTTACATATAACAAGCACGATTCTGACCGAAAAAACGACATAATCATGGCGCCTGAAATGATCTGCAAATAAATCGACTCACAGTGCCAATTTAACCAACCTGTAATACAAGCCATAGCATCAGTTCACAGAAGAGGGAAACAAATTACTCCCTCCTTCCATCTATATAGGGCCTAATGCATTTTTCGAGGCTAACTTTGACCAAATATTAGAGCAATAATATATGACATGCAACTTACACAAAGCACACCGTTAAATTCGTGTGTGAAATGAGCTTTCAATGATATAATTTTCACATTGTGCATGTCATGTACTATTAATCTTGTCAATAGTCAAAGGAGGTCTTAAAAAACGCATTAGGCCCTATATAGATGGAAGGAGGGAGTAACCATTATTACCAACTAAACAGACTAATCTAAGTGTGGTGGTCGGCTAGCAGATGACATGAACTCTCCCAGTCTCCCTCCAACCGATAGGACCGTTCGCTGCGTCCTGACCTGACGACTCTCTTGCCTGATTCCGTCGCAGACGATCGGCGAGAAGATCGAGTCCCTCGAGCTAATGGCCTTGGTGGCATCTTCTCATCACTCCCTAGATCTGCTTGGGATGAGTTCATGCGCTTTGCTCGCAGAGTCCGCAGTTCGGTCTCCACTTGTTTCATGGTGGGTCTTTCGGCGCCACGTAGCCTTAAGCACAGTTCTGCAAGAGAGGCGACACCGTTGATCTCTTCCTCGGTCGCCTCCTCGAGGACCTGGGGATTGACAATGCCTGTGATTCTCCCCTCCTTGAACTCCTGGAGAAAATAGCTTGACAAGCTGTTGACCGTGCCCGACTCACTTGTAAAAACAGGCTTCAGTCTGAGCAGCAGCTCCACGAGCACCACGCCAAAACTGTACACGTCGCTCTTCTCGTTCAGCTGTCTGGTGTGGAAATACTCTGGGTCTAAGTACCCGAATGTACCCTGCACATTCGTGACAATGTGTGTTTGATCAATCGGAACCAATCTAGACGCGCCGAAATCTGAAACTTTAGCTGTGTAGTTCACATCCAAGAGTATATTCGAGGACTTCACGTCACGATGGAAGATTAATATTGAAGCTGAAGAGTGGAGATAAGATAGAGCTCCTGCTGTTTCCAGGGCAATCCTTAAGTAATCACTCCAAGACAAAGAACAACCATCACTTGGATCAGCATGAAGAACTTGAGACAGTGAGCCATTGGATACATAGTCATACACTAGCAGTGGAACCTCGGTTTCGAGACAACATCCAAAGAGCTTTACAATATTTCTGTGCCTTATCTGAGAGAGGACTGCAACCTCATTGATGAATTGACTGATCTCACACTCCTCAATGACCTTAGACTTTTTTATTGCAACAACACGCTGATCAGATAGTATGCCTTTGTAAACCATGCCATGACCCCCACGGCCAATGATACGTGCAGGATCAAAATTATTTGTTGCCTTCTCTAATTCTTCCAACAAGAAAATCTTTGTTTTGTCATTTGCACTTTCATCAGATGATATCAAAGTTTCTAGGAGACGACCTTGGTTCTTTTGGAAATAGTACTTTCTTAGTTGCCTTTGGACATTTCTTTTCCATTTACGTGTGAGAAGTACTACACTGAAGCTCAGAAGTAGAATGCCGAAACCACAGGACAGCCCAATAATTATACCTGCGGTTATTAAACTCTTTTCATTCTACATCTTGTCTATCATAAATAAATGTAACAAAAATGTAGTCATACCTACAAGTAGAGTCTGTTGTTTTATCCTAGTACACTGCATATTTAATGGATCATACTCTGTCTTGCGAGGACATTCGATACAATTGAAGCTTCCTTCGGTATTATGGCAGATCTCTTTACATTTGTTGGGTTGAAGGCATTCATTAATATCTGAAATTAACAAAATCTTGATAAGATGCTTTGACAAAATACATACTCCCTCTGATATACAGTAAGTAGTTTAGAACATCGTCATGGTCTTAATAGTAACATTTTGACTATATTTCAAGGAAAATATGTTGTTTCAACGAGAAATTTTATATGTTAAGAAAATATATTTCATCACTAATCTCTTAATACCAATTTATATGTTAAGAAAATATATTTTAATATGTGCAACTTTCTTTTACAGAGTTGAAAAATATCCAGTACTAGTACATTTTTCCAGTTTTAGGGACTGTATCATCTGTAATCCTAGAGAGAACAAAGGAGTACCTCGACAACCACTTTGGATGTATGGATTTCCTTGGAAGCCATCTGAGCACTTGCAGCGATAACCAGCATAGACCCTTTCAGCACTTACTTCCACACACTTGCTGTTCATACTCACACAAGCATATCCAGACCTATTATGTTGGGCCTCTGCGCAACTTAGCTTAGCAGCAACCCATTTGATAGAGAGAAATAACCCATATGCAGAAAAAAGACTGTTTTGTCCTGAATCAGACGTAGGGTTCGCCAATTGTTGGTCAGGAATGGTGGCATTAATAGTCCCTTCATCAACATTCACGCCAATTACCTCCAAGGCAATTACCTCCAAATCCCTCAGCAGCAAAATAGGCGATGACGTTGTATTTGTGCAATTGAAGTGAAACTCTTCCCTGGCAAAGCAACCCTCTTCGAGTCCGAATGGGAATTCCACATCAATGCTACCACACTGACGGGTGCAATCAGCCCTGCTTGGGGTTGGATTGTATCCTAAATTGATCAGTAAAAGGTTAGAATGTATCAAAGGTCCAAAATGCCTGACAGCAGCTGTGCGTTTGGCCGCTTAATTAGGAAAACATGTTACCTTTGTTATTGCTGGAGCAGCCATGTGAAATGTAGGGGTTGCCTGTATAGCCGTCGTGGCAGAAGCACCGGTAGCCACTTGGTGATGATATGAATCCCGTATTGTAGTTGTAGCCACACCCAGCATGCTCACTCTTACAGGCAACACAGGCGGATTGATTCCCAATATCCCATGAGAGCCGAAAGCGATCAGTGGTTATGCTGATTTTATCCCACAACTGAGAGGTCTGGTTAGAGTGTGCTTTGGTGTTTTTCGGGTTGTGGCCGTAGACAAATTTGAACTGATAAGTGTCGGCATCGTTTTCCACGTCTACATGACAACATCCAAAGCCATTACAGTTGTGCATAGCCACCATCTCAGTGATCCCTGGATCTGGGCACACAGTTGCACATATCGGCTGGGTGGCATTCTCTTTGACAGAGTACACCTCCAGGTCACAGCCGGTGATGTTTAGAGCAACGTAATCAGTGGATACATGGAAGTGCCTCCCAAGTGGTTTGAAAGACAAATTGTAGAGACTGGCCCCAGATTTCATGGGGATGGTATGTGAGAAGGAGGCCGAGATCAGGTTTGAATTCCAAAAAGGATCGAAGTCGATCACCTCTGTGATTCCGTCATGCAAGAAGAGCTTGGGGGGCTGAGTGGTGTCGTTGCAGATGAGGTTGAAGTCAGGCCCACGGGAGCACCTGGATCCGATGCCAAAGGGATAGCCGAACCTCACGCTGCCGCAGCTCGTTGGGCAGCCATCGAGCGTGGCCATGGCACGCGATGGTTGTACCCAGTTCCCCTCGGGGCTCAGTTGGCTTGTTGCAACTCCGGATGCTAGAGCTGTTAGCTTTCCTACTGAACCGAGTACCAGCAGAGGGAAGATCATTGGCAAGAAGCCCATGATCAATCTGCAGTTCTACACTATACCTTGCACTAGAGAAATTCAGGTCAGGCAGCAGTACCTTCTCTTGTAGTGTTGTAGGTGCCACTTTCATGACTGCCTTCCTACTGCATATATATCCATGGTTGCAAAAACTTACAGTTGACCCAAGGAAGACCGGAAGAGGATTCGTGTGGTTGTGGGTGTGGCTGTGGATTTGCTGTGCACTTGATGCCGTGTTAAATGAGACGACCATGACCTAGTAAATGTTCCTGTGGATGTGGACCTGGGTGCGGCAGTGGTGTATTTGATGCGATGTTAAGGAGATGACCATGACTTTGACAATGGCGTATTTGATGTGATGTGGAAGGAGAAGACCATGACCATGACCTTGTAGACAAAGACCTCAGCAAGTCGGCCAATACCTCCGTTTGCAGATACTTCAAGCCCATCATATGCCATGTTCCTAATAAACCATGTTACTACACATTTCGCCTAAGAAATTCTGGGTTCCCAAGGGTTTGCCTCTACACAAGAAAGACATTAACAACATAGAGAGCAAACCTAAGTTGATACACCAAACATATGGATGAAACAAATGAGCACGCAAAATTACATCATGAAAATGGCGAACCACACAAGAATGCGGAACCATACCGTACAATCGGCTGGGAAATACCATCCTGCTCATCAACGGCTGAAGCCGGCTAGCAATCTTCAGTCACCACCTGGTGGAGACAGCCTAACTGAGCCATCAGCAACATTATCTGCTGCTCGCTTAAGCTGCAACCAAGAGTACAGAGTAAAATTTCTGAACACTGTAGATAAAATACAGAGAAGAATCAAGTAACACAATAACAGGAAATGAGCACATGAATAGCTTAGGTTTGTTTTTTCTACGGAACAAGTGGATTCTTCAGAAGGAAAGAAAGTGAAAAGAACCCAATGCCTGAGATTACTCGGCCACCGCTCAATCTTTCCGATGCGAGCTCCAAGGACATGAATCGGAGGGTGTGTGTGTGTGTGTGTGTGTGTGTGTGTGTGTGTGTGTGTGTGTGGAGAGAGGAGAGCAGCGGCGTGGCCGAATCCGCCATGGCGCGCCCGTCCTCTTCGACGGCGTCGCCGCGCGGGGCCCGGCGGTATCGGGCGGCGAGGGAACTCTATGCTGGGTGGGGCTGGACGGCGGTGGAGGTGGCGAGCAAAGGCGTGGGGGGGAGGCCATCGCTCGCCATCGTGCCCATAAACCCGCATTTGGGCTGGGCCCTCATCACATAGCCCATCTTTGGGCTGAGAGATGAACAAATCCCATACAATCAGTCCATTTTTGTCAAAAAAAAAATTGTGAACATGTCTGGTTGGGTCTTCCTTATGACAAAATTCGTGTACCCATGGATATCACTTTGAATCAATAAAGCTTGCGAGAATTCTCAAATAAAAATTGTCCCAAAAAAATGGTGAACATCTTTTGTAATTCAAGAACATTTTCAAATTCGCGAATTTTTTGTAGAATTTGGGATTACTTTTTTGAATTCATGAGCTTTTTTAAAATCACAGGCGTTTTTTAATTTGTGAACATTTTATAAATTTGCAAACATTTTTCTATTAGGATTTTTTTTCAATTCATGGATATTTTTCGAATTCGTGAACATTTGTTGAATTCTCAATCATTTTTCTGATTCATGGTCATTTTTTCCAATTCGTGATTTTTATAAATTCGCAAACATCTTTCCAGTTCATGAGTTCTTTTTCAAATTCATGAACATTGTCTTGAAATTTGGAAACATTTATTGAATTCATAACATTTTTCAAATCCACGAACATTTTTTCAAATTTGTGACATTTTTCCAAATTCATGAACTTTTTTGAATTGCTGAATATTTCTAATCGGCAAACACTTTTAAAATGTGTGAACAATTCACAGTGACAAACATTTTTCTAGTTCATGAGCATTTTTTTTAATTTGCGTACATTTTTCCAATTCTACAGTACTCTGCTTGACCTCAGATTTTTAACCTACTGATTTCCTACGCAATTTTTTCAAAAGTTTGTCTGGCTTCTTATTTCTCAATCGTTCAATACATTGGAATGTGTTGTTTCATCTGCAGTTACAAGAAACAAAATTTGTTGAAATACCATGTAAACGGAAAAGTTCTGGATAGAAATAGACGGACAATGAAAGAAAGAGTCAAACAACTAAAAGAAATACAATAGTAGAAGTAGCTTGTGGAAACAGTGCATAACAGTGGCCGACGAATGAAGCCCAACAACGCCGCAAAAGTGCTCAGGTGCGTGTTTTCCCAATACTTTCTCTCGATTTTTCTCCACTGCGACCCGTCAGCGGGTGCTCTCAACTTCCCATCTTTCTTTCGGTTCTCACTGTGCCATCGCATCAACTTGGCATGCTCTTCGTTTCTGAACAAACGTTTAAACCGTGGTATTATAGGAGCATACCACATCACCTTCGCAGGAACCCTCTTCCTGAGGGGCTCGCCGTCAACATCACCAGGGTCATCTCGTCTGATCTTATACCGCAACGCACCGCATACCGGGCATGCGTTCAGATCCTTGTATGCACCGCGGTAGAGGATGCAGTCATTAGGGCATGCATGTATCCTCTCCACCTCCAATCCTAGAGGGCATACGACCTTCTTTGCTGCGTATGTACTGTCGGGCAATTCGTTATCATTTGGAAGCTTCTTCTTCAATATTTTCAGTAGCTTCTCAAATCCTTTGTCAGCCACAGCATTCTCTGCCTTCCACTGCAGCAATTCCAGTACGGTACCGAGCTTTGTGTTGCCATCTTCGCAATTGGGGTATAACCCTTTTTTGTGATCCTCTAACATGCGATCGAACTTCAGCTTCTCCTTTTGACTAATGCATTGCGTCCTTGCATCGACAATGACCCGGCGGAGATCATCATCATCGGGCACATCGTCTGGTTCCTCTTGATCTTCAGCAGCTTCACCCGTGGTAGCATCATTGGGCACATCGTCTGGTTCCTCTTGATCTTCAGCAGCTCCCCCCGTTGCAGCATCACCGTATTCAGGGGGCATATAGTTGTCATCGTGCTCTTCTTCTTCGCCGTCTTCCATCATAACCCCTATTTCTCCGTGCCTCGTCCAAACATTATAGTGTGGCATGAAACCCTTGTAAAGCAGGTGGGAGTGAAGGATTTTCCGGTTAGAGTAAGACCTCGTATTCCCACATTCAGTGCATGGACAACACATAAAACCATTCTGCTTGTTTGCGTCAGCCGCATCGAGAAACTCATGCACGCCCTTAATGTACTCGCGGGTGTGTCTGTCACCGTACATCCATTGCCGGTTCATCTGCGTGCATTATATATAATTAAGTGTCCAAATTAATAGAAGTTCATCATCACATTAAAACCAAAGTGCATACATAGTTCTCATCTAACAACATATAGCTCTCCAGAGCATCTAATTAATTAAACCATACATTAAAACTATGTAAAACATTTCAATGCGAAAACAAATGCGATCATAATCGCAACCAAGGTAACAATTGATCCAACGGCATAATGATACCAAGCCTCGGTATGAATGGCATATTTTCTAATCTTTCTAATCTTTAAGCGCATTGCATCCATCTTGATCTTGTGATCATCGACGACATCCGCAACATGAAACTCCAATATCATCTTCTCCTCCTCAATTTTTTTTTATTTTTTCCTTCAACAAATTGTTTTCTTCTTCAACTAAATTTAACCTCTCGACAGTAGGGTCGGTTGGCATTTCCGATTCACATACATCCTAGATAAATAAAATCTATGTCACGTTGGTCGGCATAATTTTCATAAACAATAAATGAACAAATAGTTATAAAGATAATATACATACCAAATCTGAATCATAGACAGGACGAGGGCCGACGGGGGCGGATACCAAAACCATCGCACTATATAAGATGCAATAATAAATGTAAGAAAATGATACAAGTATCTATCTAAACATACAAGTAAGAATATTTTTCCTTTCAGAAAGAAGATAAGAACAAGAGGCTCACCACGGTGGTGTCGGTGATGAGATCGGCGCGGGTGATCGACGGCGGTGAAGACGGAGACGGGGCGTGATGGACCGCTAAATCTAGACAAATCTCGAGGAAAATGGAGCTTGGAGGTCGAGCTTCGAGAGGAGAAAGCTTAAGTAGTGTGGCTCGGGCATTCCATCGAACACCTCATGTGCATAGAAGGTGAGCTAGAGCACCACAAAGCCCTCTCCCCCTCGGCCAGAAAAAACAGAGCATTGTGCTCTGCTCTTGCGCGAGGGAGTATATATAGGCACCTCATTGGTCCCGGTTGGTGGCATGAACCGGGACTAAAGGGGAGCCTTTGGTCCCGGTTCATGCCACCAACCGGGACCAATGGTGGTGGGCCAGGAGTGAGGCCCATTGGTCCCGGTTCGTCCCACTAACCGGGACCAAAAGGTCCAGACGAACCGGGACCAATGGCCCACGTGGCCCGGCCGGCCCCCTGGGCTCACGAACCGGGACCAATGCCCACATTGGTCCCGATTCTACACTGAACCGGGACTAATGGGCTGAGCCGGCTTGGACCATAGCCCTGTTTTCTACTAGTGTGAGGTTCTATTTGTTTTGGTTAGTTGCGTGTACGTTAACCGGAGTGCACTTAGGAAAGATAATGTTTGCTTGTTTAATAGTAGTATAGAAGATCCACAACTCCTTCGGGCGGCACCAATAATCCCAGCCACCATCAACCCAAAAATCCCAAACCAATCCAAATCAAAATGTTCTCGGCTGTGTAAAGATCATATCCCTTTAAATTAGTCTTTCTCCTTCCCTTCTTGGTGTGCCCTGTTCCCTGTGCCCTTTTTCTCTTTGTTATATCGGGTGGTTGCTATATCAATATAGCGGGGTGAAAGCCTTTTTCTCGAATATTTTTTTGTCTAAAAAAGGTAATATCGGATGCTCGTTGACACAAAAACCAGAAGAGAGAACTGGTTAGATGGGATCCAGGGATCTTCTGATAATCATGAAATTGCTCGGTCATGGACAAAGCTTTGAAACCTATTAATACCATCGAAACTCAAAATTTTTGTTTGGAGGCTGGCACAACAATCTTTGCCATCCGCAGATCTCCTTCAACACCGGCACATATCAAATTCAAGCTGCTGTGCTCTTTGTGGATGCGAGGACTCTTGGCGGCACTCTTTACTGGATTGTACTACATCAAGATGCATTTGGGCACTGTGCGATGAGAGCATCACAGAGAGCATGGCGACATGCACCGAACCTTCAGCAAAAAACTGGCTTTTTGCGATGAATGATCTACTACCGCATGAAGAGTTCATAAGGATGATAGTTACACTTTGTGCAATCTGATATGGGAGACGGAAAGCTATCCACGAAAGCATTTTTCGGAGCCCACGCTCCATCCAACAGTTTGTGTTATCCTTTATAACAGAGCTTGAGTCAATCAAGACTCCAAGGCTCCCAGGCCCAGTACCGCCTCATGACAGGACTCAGAGATGGATCCCGCCTTCTGGGGGATGTTCAAAAATAAACGTGGATGAAGCTTTCAGTAGATTCGAAAGAAGGGCAGCAGCTGCTGCTGCGATCTGCAGGACGGAGCAAGGAACATACATTGGAGCCTCAGCGATTGTGGTGGAGAATATATCAAACCCAGCTATATATAATGGAAGCTCTAGCTTGCCGAGAGGGTATAGCACTAGCTGAAGACCTAACACTGAGAAATGTTGTTTTAGTTGCGGATAGTCAAGAGGTGATCAAAGACATAGAACAAGAAGCAGCTGGTCCATATGGTGCAATCATCAAAGAATTCATAGATCGGAAGAATATGCTTGACAAATGTATTTTAGTTCATGAGCATAGAAATTTCAATTTTGAGGCTCATTGCCTCGCAAAACATGCTGCTACTCTAGGTATTGGAAGACATACTTGGTTGGGTCAACCTTTTGATCCCAACAAAATACCTGTAAACCTTGTTATTGAGTAATAAAGTGCGTGGTTTTGCCTAAAAAAGCAATATTGTTTTTTAATTTTTGCCTTTTATTTTTGGTTTGTTTATTTATTCCAAAAAATATTTTTACTTAATTTTTTATTGCAGCATGTATTTTAAAACATTTATGAGGTGTATTTTTACCAGTAGGTGTTTTGTTATGTGGATAGTATTTCTATTTTTAGGTTATACATTCATGAAATTTACCATGTGAAAGCATGAGCAAATTTCTACTTTAAGTATGAACATTTATGATTGAAGCGTGTAGCAAATTATTGAACACTATTCCTAAATGTAAAAAATGTTCATATATCTAGAAAATTTCCCATGGCTATCAAACGTTCCCGGGTATGAAAAAACAAATATTCATGATTTACAAAACATATTTGCGTATCTAACAAAAAAGTATAAAGGTAATAAAAAATAAATACAAAAATAAGGAAACCAAACAAGCAAAACAAGTAGATAAAAACGAAAAAAATAAGAAAATAAAAAAAGCATGCAATAAAAGAAAGAAGAGAACATTATAACTAAAATAAATTAGATAAGGGGGGATCTTACCATCATGCGTCGAGCCTGTCACAAGAATGTGGTTGAAAAGAAAATAGGAAAGAAAAAAGGAAAGGGAAAAAGTAGACACTCTCAAAAAGAATATAAAGTCTATATCTATACCTACTATTAAAGGGAATATGTATTCTTGGTTTAGTTTAGTCCTTTTCATTTGGTTTGAGTGCACGCTAAAGTTTGGTACTGTCAGGTCGTACACAGGCTAAGCGATCTGGGCCTGGTACTTGTATGTGGATGAGCCTTTTATGGGCTTTCAGAGAGATTGTGAAAAAAATTGGGTCAAAATAAATAAACATTATGGGAATTGAACACAGCTGTTAGGATCTTTAATGTAACAACCAACGACCTATGCGCTATTTACATTTACAAATCCCAACTCGCTCTAAATATACGAGTGGCGGCCCTCATGTTTAAGGCAAGCTAATTAAGCGAATGAGCTAATTAACGAAAGGATTATGGGCTTAAATAAAATATTTAAATAGATGTGGCTAATTAAAGAAAGGATTATGGGTAAACCGGTGAAATAATTGAAGAAAGATTGTGGTCATAATAAATAGAACATTCAAATAGATGAGGCTGATTAAGGGAAGGATTTGAGATAAAAAGGTAGGATAATTAGAAAGAAGGATATGTCGGTTTCAATGTGTTGGACTATTAAATTAGAAAAAGAAAGATTTGATTTCCGACTAAAAGGGGTGAGGACTTCATGGTAATTAAAGGAAGCATGATACTTAAATAAAATTAGTGCGAGATTATGCTCGACAGAGAAAATATGTAAAGGGTAAAATGCATCGTATTTTTTTATGTTCATTTTGTAGAAGGATGCTGCGTTGCAGCATGTTCTTCATAGTGAATCTGGTGCTATGGAACATTATGCTTGCACAAAACATCAATTTTTTCCGTTGCAACGCACGGGCTTGTGTGCTAGTCTATATCTATATCTATATCTATATCTATATCTATATTATATTACCTACTAATAAAGCAAGGTGATATTCTTGGTTTCGTCCCGCGGTGATTTTATTTTCTATTTAAGATATATATGCGAGGTGGTACTAATTTGGGGAATATGACACACGCACGCACGTCCGTCGAGCACAGCCCGTATCGTGTCGTTGTGGCCCATCTTATATCTTAGTTGTAGCCCGTTTAAAACACACACCCCGACGGGCTGACTGCAGTCCAGGAAAATAGAAGGAAAAAAATGCTCTCCAGAATCGTACTAGCGATCTCCAATGTACTAATGTACACGGCCATGTGAGATAATGAGGGAAGGGTAAACTAAACGGAATTAAAGGAGGACGATGAAGGTTCTAGCACACGGACGTTATTAAAGGAGTTAGGAAGGCAAGGCTCCGGGCCTCCGGCGCATGGCGTCCTTGAATTAAGCGGATTCATCCATATTTGAAAAAAAATAGGAAGATTGACTCACGATGTGAATAAATTAAATGGATTCATCCCTAATAAAAGAGAATTAAAGGAGATTAGGAAGATGGGCGCACGACATGGCCAAATTCAATGTACTTATATGAGTAAAATCTACTTAAGCTAGCGGGAGCAACCTCCTGGACCTCCATAGGAACATTTTGCACCTTGGATAGGTGAGATAGAGTAACAACTACTCTTACTCTGTAACATGTCTGTATTCACAGTAAAAGGTGTCATCCTGCCATCTTCCTTAATGAGTGAAATATCTGTGATTAATGCAGCTTTATCAGACGGCAAGAATCCACTACCCATTGGAGGGGATGGGATAGACGGACTCCCCCCAACAACGCTACCAATTGAAATTTGGGTCGCCTTCTTCCATAACTTGTCAAACAATTTTGCCCACTGGTGTTGGGGCCTTGTTGAAGCTGTAGTGTATTCACCAATTTCCCGTGGATTTTTCCTGCCATGAAATAGAAGCAATTTGAGTAATGTATGCCACAAATTCAGCAACATGTGATTAGATCATTATGATCAATATGCTTACAATTGGAAAGTATACAAGCAAGATATAGTTAATTACCCTAAACACTTTAATTGTAATCTTTTGACGTACACCATGAACATGAGAGACTGGTTGTATTGTGCCACCTGGAGCGATTTTTGACCCCTTAACAAGTTGGAAACCAGGGCAGTCCATGTCATAGCACCCTGTATGATATGTGTCTCTCTGTTTCACACAAAGTTATATGGTCACTAGATATTCTAGCTTTGTGTGCTATAGTTGAGGAACATAGTTTTTGAGTGAAAAGGCAGAAACATACCGTCCAACTCGTGAAGAAGTGAGTATGTGAGTCCCCATATTTTTTTGGGTCAACCTGGGAAGAAACTGAAGAGTCATTAAGAGCATTATAAATGGCATCGAGTACGTCCAAATTAATGATGGTAAGATGGCTACAATCTGTAAAAATCATAATATATGTAAATTACGACTTACTTGCCACCCGACCCAAATTGCATTCTCATCTGTCTTTGGATCACCCTCCATGTTAGCAATCCAAATAGATGTTATGATATGACCAGCACTGATATTGTGTCCGTACACATCCATTGTAGCAGCAAGTCCATAATAGCTACTGGGATGTGTCCTATGTGTCGCAAACTGTAGAAGGCAGAAAGTTAAAAACTTTGAAAGTGACGGTAAGAAAACATTGGCTTGTTAAAAGTTCCAGGATAGAGTGACTCACATAAACGATGTCGTTGGAATTTTTTGATGGAGAAGCATGTGCATACCATGCCTGTAAGGCTTCAGAGTGAGTATGCAATCCAGATATTGCTTGTTCGGCTTTTGTTGCTTAAAAAAAATAAAACATGTGGAGAACAAAATATACATTTTAAGGAAAAACTAAATATGCATAGCTTAAATAGTTATAGCGGGTGACTGAAAAACCTTCCGTGCACAAAATATACATTTTAAAGGTAAAACTAAATACGCATAGCTTAAAATGAAACATGTAGAGTACAAAATATACATTTTAAAGACTAGAAAATAAACTATAATGTGTAAAATCAGCAAATCATGTACCATGCATCGAATCTGAGAGGCACCAGCCCTATGCCCATGCCTTTGTGGCAATCAATCCGTGCAGATTTGCCATTCATATAAAAAAACCACTCATACATAGTACAAAGATGAAAATTAGGAAACTAAAAGAAAATCCAGTTCGAATAACCCCAGCAACTCCTATACTCCAAACTCCTACACCTTCGCTATGAGAGAAATGGTTGTAGTTCATCACATAGTTGCATTTCTCTATTTTCACCTTCTTTTGGTACGGATTAATTTTTTTTCTATAGAATGAACAATCCTTTCTATTTTCACTACTATATCACCCCATCCGTTTCGAAAAAAAAAACTACTATATCACCCCTTGGTTCGAACTACTAATTACTCAAATTTGTAGGAACAACACGTTTACCTTTCGGTTGGTTGGATGCAATCCACCTCCATGGATTTGGTGAGCAATGAAAACAACATATATGACAAGAATATGTAATCCTAGATTAAGTTTAGACATGATGAGATGCAAGATAATTACATGGGATGAGTCCTTTATATAGATGAATTTCCAGTTTTATTAGGGAAGAGTGAGTTCCAAATCTCGCAAATAAAGTGGTACAACTTATATCTTCACATCTCTATTATTGAATACATATGGACGAGATGTAAATGAAAGTTAATAAATGCGAGCATTAAAACAAAATATTTAGGAAGGCAAAAACTTTGTCTTGTTATATTAACCGGAGATCAAATAACAACAAAGGACAAGTCCGGTCTAATGTAAATGAAAAAGACGAGTCTGGTCTTCTGCAAGCCATTCATTTCGGAAGATATAAAAGAACGTATCCTCTCCCATCCAAATTAATTGTTGCTGTCTTAGTACAATTTTGAAAATCTCCATGCATGTATATCTGCAGAACACGTTTACGTTCTGGTTCCATGGAAGATGTGCAACACAAATCTTCACAAATATGTACACATAAATGTATATGTGCACGCACTAGTTTTTTCAATATCTCACTGTATCTCTAGCACTGAATACATATGACAAGATGCAAATGAAAGATAATAAATATGAGCATTAATTTTTTTAAAAAATTGTGATATTTTTACTAAATTAGCCAAGAGCGGATATTTACAAGGGACGAGTTGTTTATGTTGATCATTTTCTATTAGCAATTCATTAAAAGAAATGTGGATATCAATCAAATCTTCACAAATGTGCACATTTTTGTAGACACTAGTTTTCAATATATAGCACAACATACATATGGATATGGACAATGTGTAAATGATAATCAACAAATATGAGCATTAAGTAAACTATTTATAAGGCCAAAGCTTTGTCAGTTACTCAGTTATATAAGTAAAGCAGAGAGAACAGTTAATGAGTCCATATAGTCAATTTCTACTAGTCATTTAGTACAGAAGATATGATTCTCAAATCTTCACTAATACTTGCAGACGAATATATACGAGTCCCCATTAGTTTTTCAATATTTCACACAACTGATTTATTTCTATCTCTAGCACTGAATACAGATGGAGGTGTAGCCTGGATATCTGCAACTGCTCGTGCTCAAGCTGAAGCGGCATCAGGATTTTGGACAATCCAGGAATTGCCAACGGCGTCGTGAGCCAAGGACAGACTCGACTGACAGTGTTGTTGAAGAGCCAGTTGATCCGGCTCGATCCTTTCCAGGTGTTGGACTGATGTTAAGGGCTCCAGCGTGCAGGCTTTCAGATTCATGGTCCTGGTAACATGTGACCGGAGCATTTTCCCAAGGCTGTCCTGATTTCCTTCAGCATCTCGTCGATCCCGGTGTGCCTCCTGCAAAGGGTGGGAAAACAAGGGAAATGAGATCTTGCAACGGCAGAAAAGAACAGCTTCTTGCAACACCGAGGAAATTAAAGTGAAAAATGTTCAATTTGTACAACATGAGGACAGTTGAAGCACTGCCCGAGAAAACTCGTGGTATGAACAGCAATGCAAGCACCAACTTAAGCAGATATCAAACAGGAACAACAGATTAAGTACACTGCTTCGGTTCTTGCGGATGCACGTAAAGCTCCGAGGATTGTCGACATGTGGTTGTTTTTCTTCTTCAAGGAAATGTCGTCATGCATGCAGATCAGCTTTTTTCCTTTACCAAAACGCATTGCCCCAACCACAATGTCACATCACATGCAAGTAGATCAGTACTGTCTCTGCATGTTCCGCGGTCTCTCTATCCTGGTTTGTACTTGCACTCTCTCTCCTGGCTAATTTACACCATATGGGTGGGGAGAACGGGCAGCGTGCTGAATGCATGGCGCAGTACGCTTGTGTCACTGTGCACAGGTTAAGCAAATATCCAATATTATGAGCTGTTTAAGAACACAGTAAAACATGTGTTTAGTTGGTCAGGTGAGGAGACTTAGACTAGCCATAGTGGGAGTAACTTCAGCAGTAACTTCGAATCCAACTTAGCAAATTTGCTTATGTGACAATGAGTTAATGAGGAGAGAAGTACTTGTAGTAACTTAGCTAGTTACTGTAACATCACATGTCCCAATGCAATATGAGTCTGTAACTTAATAAATGAATCTTTGCATGTTATCACCCTTAAGTTACTACCCACTATGAAGATAGTAACATAGTCTAGAGATATGCGTATGTTACTAATGTATGTTACTATCCATTGTGGCTAGTCTTATAGTACGCTTGCACCGACTGCAGCTTGAGGTCTTGGATAGTCCCCAAGTTCCTTATCATCGTCTTCTGACATATGGTGTCTGCTGAAGTTTACATTTAGCTTTTCTTTGCTGGCATTCTTGTCGTCGCGTGCGTATGAATTCGCGTAGGTAGCGGGCGGTCGTGGCGGTTCTGTTGCGGCCTCGCCGTGACGAGCGCGTTGTGTGTGCGGCCTGGGCAAGCGAGTCGCCAGGCGTGCGTGCGCGCGCAGCGGAGGCTGATCGCGTGGGGAGCTACGTCCCGTTAACTACAAAACTGGCTGCAGCTTGGTTTAGTTGAGAGAGTGTTTGGATACATTTTAGTCTTATGACTAAATATAGTGAGACTAAAACTTGCTAGCCTTATCCATGCTTGGTTTCAAATACTAAAAAGATTAAAATCAAGCTAATGAGCATTTATTATCCTCCAAACCCTCCAATTCAGAACTCGCCTGTATTAAAGGAGAGAAGTTAAATGAGGAGAGAGGGGACTAATCCACATTTTAGTAGAGGTACCCCTAACTAAAAAATTTAGTCTTAAGACTAGTTTTAGCCCTTCTTTAGTCAGGGGTGCTTAAAACTTTAGCCTCTTAAAATGACTATTTTCAGTCAGACTAAAATAAGTCTCTTGGATTCAAACACCCTCTGAGTTATTAGTGGTTGGGTGTGATGTGTGCATGCATGGGTTAGTGGCCGGATCATGTGTGGGTGCGTGCGTGTGCTGGTGTGTGTACGCACCTGGGTATAAAGCCCTTCTGTGCTGCTCGTTGGTCGTTGATTCGTGCCAGAGTTTGAGCTCTATGAAAGAAGCGTCGTTCGTGCGGTGTGGCGTCCGTCGTCGGAAAAAAATCCAGTGTCCTCTTTTTCATCTTCTACCTCTGTCCATGAGCAAGCGAGAGAGAGGGAGAGTGGGCTGGTCCAGGGTTTGTCCGAACATGAACTTCTGAAACTATTTATGTGCAGAAAGCCAGAAATAAAGTAGAACAAAGGCGCCAATATTTATCGCAATACAGCTTGAAACTGCTCCAGACATGCGACGTTAGAGCATGATTAATAGTATAGCCAATACTTTTTTTTTGCGGGGCTGTATAGCCAATACTTGGCTATATGGAGTTGTCACAGTCATTTATAGCCAACCTAATATACATTCATACAATAGTTAGTCATACTAGTATACTATACCATTAATATATGGTCCACCACTTTCTCCCACAAAGGGTGTTAGAGTTCGTGCTACAGCCGGCTGTAAGTGTGTAGCCTGCTTCTAATATATCTCCTCTTCTCTCTCCTCCAACTAGATACACATCTGATTTGGCACTCTTATAGCCCACATACATCACTTTATTGTAATTTCTCGTAGTTACTCTGTAGCAACACACGGATATTTAGCTAGGCAATCTTCTTTAATAAAAAAAACCCCATAAAAGGATCTTTTATTAATTGGATAAACTGTTACACACACATGTAAAAGAGGATTTATGTCACATTTGGATGGAGTCTGTTTTGGCATGGAGATTGTAATTGTCAATCACAATTTAGTTCACCAATAATTCTGTAATAACAACAACCTTCAAGGTCACCTCATCGACCTCTTTACCCGACTCCTCATTGAACATGTCTATGTTGATATCCTCAGCACCGAGGCCCTCATTCACGGAGACGCACCGCATAATGAAGAACTCGTCCTCAGCACCGAGGCCCTCATTCACGGAGACGCACCGCATAATGTGGCGCCCTCTTTTGCGCTTGCAGTGTTACCATGATATTGCACTTGGATCGTGGCGGCACAACACATTTCTCCGGCTCTATGCAGTATTGCAGTGAGCCTGTCATTTCGACATCAAAGGCAACATAATCATTGGTTATTTGGTTAGCTGAAGTGAACACGGTATCGGCTTGTTTATCTCGAAGGGAAAATTCAGCTCAAGCCTATCAAACTCAAGCAGCTCCCACGGGTAAGGGCTTATCTGCATGGAAACAATTGGCACTTCCATAAGTACGTTTTAAGCTAACAATGGAGTAATCAAAATTTTGGAGCCTATGAGCTTACCGGGCCAACTAGCGAGTCACCAACATTGTTAATGTGCTCATTCGTATTTTCCAATGCATTAAGCATACTGACTATATCTGATATTTTAGGCCTCTTCTTTGGAGAGTCTAACAAGCACTTTAGCGATATTTCAATGCATTTAGTTACCTGTTGGTATCCAAATAGTGGATAATTCACTGATTTATTCCACCTGTACCTCCACCTTCTAAGTACCTATCATTTCAAAAAGGTTATTTATAATGACCCATAAAAATGATTTATAATGATGACTTACACAAAACCACCAAATAACATCAACAGGATCTCAGATATCGAGACTGTCCTCGAGTAAATTGCTACCTTTTTCACCCTGCCTTAGCTTATTGTTTGCACCATGGGTTCATGCTTGGATTGTTCTTATCAACCAAATAATTAGCAATGTGATCCAAATATTTGCGCCATTAGCTAGATTTGTGACTTGTTGTTACATCAATCTGTAGTTGTGCATTTTTGTTACTTTAACTTAGAGATGGTGATACACCATTATGAATGTGCACATTCAAGATTATATAAGAACTTGTAGTAAAAACACACCATCATGCACACATTTATTTGGCATTGTTTTTTTCTTGGCTATAGTTATTTGCCTCCCAACAAACTTGATTTATCTCACGTTTCATTAGCATATACCATTCAGAATACTAGGAATTATTACAACCAATACGCGCATCTTGAGAAAACATTACCATACTTGGTGAAAATCTTTTCATAAGTAC